CTTTTGTATATTCGGCTGCGCCCACTGACAAAATCCGGCCGAAACAATGCAGTAGAAACTGAAGCGAAAGAGTTACACTCGGAAAAACTGGCTTCTAATTTTACGGATCAATGTTGACCTCAGTTATAAAATTGCAAGACACCAAACACGCGCAAGGAGAGAAAGAACTCTTCATCACTATTAAAAATCTATTTCCCGAGGGCCTAACGACTTGAGAAGCCAAAGGGGATCTCTAACTTATTCAAGCAGCATCACAAATTATCTCCAATTTATTCACGCACGAATGGAAGACTATAATTTTGAGATACAATAAATGGTCACAACTTGCACTCGGTTCTAGGCGTTTTCCTGCTTTAACTCAAGGATTGTTCAACTTTTAGAACCTTGTTAAAACCAAATAACGGCAAGGAGTATTTATGTTGGTACGTTTAATTGTTTCCTCGCGGCCGATGATCCCGCTCTAAATAAACTCATTACCTATTTCCCAAGGGCATGGCAAAAAAAGGTCACATGAATGAACAAAGAATCTTTTGTTATTTCCCTTGAACGATGTAGGGGCGGTAAGCAGTCTTAACTATAAATAGAGTGGACTAAAGTACCTTCGTTATAATGCTTAGCAAAACAGCCAAGCAACCAACTCAAGATGAGATCTCTACAATGTTTCCTTGTTCTCTTGGTCACTGGCGCTTCAGTCGGTTTCGTAGTCGACACATCGCTTTATCATCCAGCCCTTCTGAAGTTCTTTAACGAAAACGTTGATAAGCTTATCGAGGGATTGAAGGTTGTAGAGAGCCAGGATGATCCAACAAGCCAACCTGCATTCATAGTAAGTTAAATGGTCGGTTTTAAGCGCCGCTCTTGACTCCTTTCGAAAAAACAGTTTTCTTTTCTTTTTTTCTCATGGAAAGGACTCAGGACACATCTTTCAAAAATATTTCAGTTATTCTCCAACTCCTTTTTTTTTTTTGCGTCGCCACTATAAACAAGACACCACCCGTGTGTCCGTTGTGGTCTTTGAGAAAAGAATTCTCAAAATGCGGGCTCAAATCGGGATAAAAAATCACATCGGGCATAGTTAATGAACCAATGAAGTCACTGACTGCCTCAAACCCGCCTTATCTCTCTAGTTTTCATCCACCGACATCTTGAAAACAAACCAAATCAAATAGAACGTCAATACGTTG